AGTCCCGCATTGGGCTCCCTGCTCGGCAGGGGCTCTGCTTCTTCCTCTGACCCTCCTCCCTCTCATGCTCTCTGTCTCTCATTCTCTCTCTCGCAAATAAATAAAATCTTTGAAAAAAAAAAAAAACTTTCCAAGAAATTTCAAACTTTCTATTTGAAAGTTCACCAACAGTAGCTCCTCGCTTGCTGTGGCAGGCCAAACAGGAAGAGGCACTTGTGGGGCTGCGACAGGAGATGACAAATCCTGTCTCCTAGGACGGGGACCTTCCCCCCTTCCACACTTACCTTCAGGTGCTCCGTCAGTGTCTTTGAGTACTTGAGAGCATTTTCTTTCTTCAGTTTGAACAGCCTCAGGTACAGCAAAGACTGGCATCTCAGGCTAGCCAACAGAAAAGGGCAGCTTATTTAGCAGCACAGCAGACTCTGGCCGCATCTGCAGACAACTTTTGTACTGCGCAAGAGTACACGACCGGCTCACGTGAACAGACTGTGGCATAAGGTCAACGACGTTAACCCCCAGGCAAGACTGGAAGATGTGTTCTGATTATGGTACACACCCAAAGGAGGGGAAGACACTTAGGACTAGTCTCCTATTTGTTGACCATCCCAGAATCAAAACCTCACCCACAAGACACCAACATGTCATTATAACATATGCATTCAAAGAAATCACTGAGGAGCAGAATCCCTAGATCAAATGATAAATATCTTAAATTCAACAACAAAAACTAGGAAACTCAACTATGCAGAGGACAGCTCTGAGGCCACACATGGGAGCCATACCATGGCTCGCAAAAGCCTTGCCACTGCTTACCTTCCCAGTCACTTTCACTTCTCCCCAGTCTCTGGAAGAATTGCTTTAGTCAGTTCCTTGACAGCTCCCAGTTTCTTGCCACCATCTAGCCCTTGCACATATTCCCTCTACCTGAACGCTGGGTGTCTCTACACTCTACTCTTAGAGTTGTTATACTTTTCTTTCAAAGTACTGAATTCAGGGCGCCTGGGTGGCTCAGATGGTTAAGCATCTGCCTTCGGCTCGGGTCGTGATCCCAGGGTCCTGGGATCAAGCCCTACATCGGGCTCCCTGCTCGGCGGGGGGCCTGCTTCTCCCCCTGCTCATGTTCTATCTCTGTGTCTCGAATGAATAAATAAAAAAAAAATCTTAAAAAAAAAAACAAAAAAACCCCAAAAAAACCCACAAAGTACTGAATTCATATACGTGTATGGCGATTTGATTAATCTGTGTCTCCTCACACTAGATACTAGACTCCACGACAAAAAAGACCGTGTCAGTTTATCCACAGCTACATTGCTAGTTGTTAAAGCCAGTGCCAGGTAAAGTAAATACTTTTAACAATCTGATAATATCTCCCTGGGACCAAGCCAACAAGCCACATTCTTTATTCCGAATAAGCTAAACATTTGCTCCCTAAGGGAAGGTATAGGATATGTGAATAAGGAGAGAGGATACCGAAAGAGCCTGGTAAAGGGACCATGTGAGACATGGGGAGTTCTACGGTCAGTCCTACTCTACCAAGGCTTTTGCCATGAGCACCATGGATCAGAGGCTGACAACAACTAAAAATCTTTCAGTAGGAATTTTGACTTATTTTCTACTTTAACCATCAAAAATAGATTTATGCCTGGGTTATGAAAAGTCGATTCAAGGATAGCTTTCAGAAGGGCATAAACAGCATAATTTTTTTTTTTTTAAGATTTATTTATTTATTTATTTATTTTAGTAATCTCTACACCCAGCATGGGGCTCGAACTCATGACCCCAAGATCAAGAGTCACACGCTCCTCCGACTGAGCCAGCCAGGTGCCCCTGCATGTGATTTCTTATATTAAATCTCGTATGTACAAGATGTCTGCATGTAATCCTATGCCTAAGCCAAATTTACTGTGAACCATCCTAAAATAGAACAGGTATTTTATTACTTCCATAACTGGAGCTGCACTTACTGTGCCTGAACAAAAGCACCCATGTCCTACAGCAAAAGCTGTTTTTAGTTTCGTGTGTGTCACGGGTACAGTGAGAGGTATTTTTGACCAAACTCAGTACATTCAGTATGACTGGTAAGCAGTGGTGATTAGGAAACTTTACTGGCAAGTCTAGACTACATAATAAACTAAATGCAGATCAGACATTATTTAACTAGATCATAAAAGCTCTTTTAACTATCTCGTCCTTCCAAGTTTCTCCAGAGACCCTCCTACCTTTCTGCTCTTTGGAAAGCTGCTCAGCTTGGTCCCAAATTTCCGTGGCATAGAGGAAGTTGGACGTAACCTGAACATAGCTGGCTGCCATCTGGTGGATCCTCTGTGGAATGGTCACTGAAGAACCACTTGCTGCAGCGCTACTGGCCCCAGAAGAGTAATTTCCGGAATTGCCCGGCGACAGCTTCGGAGAAACGGGGGAAGGCATCCCAACAGCTTTGCTACACGGAGGGAAACAGAAAGCTTATTCGTGTGAATATGGTGAACGTGATGGAACCAATGTTCTACTGGCTCTTCATCCGTGAAGGCTCTTCAAATTTAAAGACTTTTTTTAAACTGGAAGAGTTCCCAGAGAAGTACAGTTTCTTCTAAGTAAGTACTTAGCTCACGAAAGCCCATGGCGAATCATATCTGGACTCTTTGTTTTAATGAATGGTAACAGGACAAAAGACGGCAAAGAACTGAGGAAGTCACACACCTGGAAAGCAGCAGTTCAAAGGCTTAGAAGCTGGATCACCTCACTCCCAGCTCCACACACTTTCCATCTATTCTGGCAGGTAATTAGGTACTTTTCAAGTTGTTTTGTAGAAAGTTGGGAGGAATTTGCAACTTAACACAAGAAGACTGTGGTAGTAGATAGGAACGTTTTATTTTGAACGCCATTATTTCTGGTACTTTCCTAGTTTAACCAAGTTATTCAAAGCTGACAAAGAGGTACAGCTTTTTCAATCAACTGCAATTATCTCAAACTTCCTGTCAATTAGATATTTCTTAGGAAACACATGTTGAAATCTGAGAGGTTCATTTCAGCAGTACTAAAATTTGTGGAAGTGCCCAACACCATAAAAAAAAGGAAAATGAAGTAAAAGTTGGGGGGACAAAAGCGATTTGTTATGAATATTTTTTTATCTTCACTTTTAGCACTATAAATTTGGTTCAGAAAATACACAAGAGCAAAGACAGAAAGTCAGTTAACATAAAAATAATACCTGAGCAGAAAAAAATTACAAAACAGAAGCTGTCAGGGTAATTGTCCTCCTTCTGGGGGGTGATGTAGGATGGAGGAGAAACCCCAATCACGCCATTGTTATTCATTTCTGTCAGTGTCAAGACTTGAGTAAAATAAAGATAAACTCAATGATAAAAACCCAACTAACTATTAAACTCTGAGAAGGATGGGGTGCTGTCAAAAAACTCAGATTTCTACAGGTGAAATGTCCTCTGTCTACTCCTTCTAAGACTGTGTTCATTATACCTTCAACTTAGTAAAAAATAAAGAGAAAAAACGAAAACTTTAAAAAATACTATATTAGAGATGGTTTTAATTTTTTTTTTTGTCATCTTTCCATTTCTGGAACTGGACCCTACCCATTCTGATTTTACACAAAAATAAATCATTCTGTCACAAAAAATATTTTATAGAGTAAAATTTACCTACCTTCCCAAGCCAGGTGATGGTGCTTGAGAATTATTATAAGAATTCTGTGGAAAAAATAAAACGTACGTAATTAAAAAAACACTACTTCTGAAGTACTAAACATATTCAAAAGCATACTGGGCCAGAACTGCTCCTTAAGAAGCTTTACAAATTTAAGAACCCAAAATACAAGCATGAGAGCGAGAGAATGTGTGTGTAAACGTGCAACAGAAAGACCCTATTTAGGTGAGAGCTGGGGGTTCTGGAAGACTTAAATGGAAGGACAAAGAATGAATAACACTCAGACAGACAGGAGGTGTGTCATACTACGTGCAAAGGCTGTGAAGAGATGTGACCCATACGGTTTCCCTGGAGCAGAGGTTTAGGTAAGGAACAAGAGAAAGAGACCTTGATGACTTGAGGTCAGGGTAAGAAGCTTAGACCTGACCTGGCAAGCAACAGCAAGCTACTGAAGGGTTCGAACTCAGAACCAGGGCAGGATTTTAAGATTTATGTGGTGGTGTGGTGAAAAAACACAGACATTTTAGGAAACTAATTTAATAGTCTAAGGAAGGGTAGTAGTGAAAACAGAAGGCCATTTGCGAAGTACAAACTAGGTCTCATGACAGAAAGAGGCTACATCAACTGAAATATTCGTAAGAGCTACTGCATATGACTACATAGATTCTACAATCAGATATATGTACATTTAAAAACTTTCCGGGGCGCCTGGGTGGCTCAGTCGGTTAAGCGACTGCCTTCGGCTCAGGTCATGATCCTGGAGTCCCGGGATCGAGTCCCGCATTGGGCTCCCTGCTCGGCAGGGGCTCTGCTTCTTCCTCTGACCCTCCTCCCTCTCATGCTCTCTGTCTCTCATTCTCTCTCTCGCAAATAAATAAAATCTTTGAAAAAAAAAAAAAACTTTCCAAGAAATTTCAAACTTTCTATTTGAAAGTTCACCAACAGTAGCTCCTCGCTTGCTGTGGCAGGCCAAACAGGAAGAGGCACTTGTGGGGCTGCGACAGGAGATGACAAATCCTGTCTCCTAGGACGGGGACCTTCCCCCCTTCCACACTTACCTTCAGGTGCTCCGTCAGTGTCTTTGAGTACTTGAGAGCATTTTCTTTCTTCAGTTTGAACAGCCTCAGGTACAGCAAAGACTGGCATCTCAGGCTAGCCAACAGAAAAGGGCAGCTTATTTAGCAGCACAGCAGACTCTGGCCGCATCTGCAGACAACTTTTGTACTGCGCAAGAGTACACGACCGGCTCACGTGAACAGACTGTGGCATAAGGTCAACGACGTTAACCCCCAGGCAAGACTGGAAGATGTGTTCTGATTATGGTACACACCCAAAGGAGGGGAAGACACTTAGGACTAGTCTCCTATTTGTTGACCATCCCAGAATCAAAACCTCACCCACAAGACACCAACATGTCATTATAACATATGCATTCAAAGAAATCACTGAGGAGCAGAATCCCTAGATCAAATGATAAATATCTTAAATTCAACAACAAAAACTAGGAAACTCAACTATGCAGAGGACAGCTCTGAGGCCACACATGGGAGCCATACCATGGCTCGCAAAAGCCTTGCCACTGCTTACCTTCCCAGTCACTTTCACTTCTCCCCAGTCTCTGGAAGAATTGCTTTAGTCAGTTCCTTGACAGCTCCCAGTTTCTTGCCACCATCTAGCCCTTGCACATATTCCCTCTACCTGAACGCTGGGTGTCTCTACACTCTACTCTTAGAGTTGTTATACTTTTCTTTCAAAGTACTGAATTCAGGGCGCCTGGGTGGCTCAGATGGTTAAGCATCTGCCTTCGGCTCGGGTCGTGATCCCAGGGTCCTGGGATCAAGCCCTACATCGGGCTCCCTGCTCGGCGGGGGGCCTGCTTCTCCCCCTGCTCATGTTCTATCTCTGTGTCTCGAATGAATAAATAAAAAAAAAATCTTAAAAAAAAAAACAAAAAAACCCCAAAAAAACCCACAAAGTACTGAATTCATATACGTGTATGGCGATTTGATTAATCTGTGTCTCCTCACACTAGATACTAGACTCCACGACAAAAAAGACCGTGTCAGTTTATCCACAGCTACATTGCTAGTTGTTAAAGCCAGTGCCAGGTAAAGTAAATACTTTTAACAATCTGATAATATCTCCCTGGGACCAAGCCAACAAGCCACATTCTTTATTCCGAATAAGCTAAACATTTGCTCCCTAAGGGAAGGTATAGGATATGTGAATAAGGAGAGAGGATACCGAAAGAGCCTGGTAAAGGGACCATGTGAGACATGGGGAGTTCTACGGTCAGTCCTACTCTACCAAGGCTTTTGCCATGAGCACCATGGATCAGAGGCTGACAACAACTAAAAATCTTTCAGTAGGAATTTTGACTTATTTTCTACTTTAACCATCAAAAATAGATTTATGCCTGGGTTATGAAAAGTCGATTCAAGGATAGCTTTCAGAAGGGCATAAACAGCATAATTTTTTTTTTTTT